TGTGTGTGTGTGTGTGTTTAAATCAGTATGTTCCTTCCCCTCTCCTGTCTTTACAGAGGTTGGGATGGCTGTAGAACATTGTGTAAACTGTTTAATTCAGTTGTATACATATTTTCATATGTATATATATTTAGTGCTATAAAATTCCATTTCCTATAACACAGAGATTTTTCATGAGGAGATAAAGTATAGAAGAGGAAGCACAGGACAGGCAGTCAGAAGACATGGGTTTGGATCTTGGCTCTACTATTTACTATCTATGTAACCTTGAGCTTAAATTGCCCTGGTCCTCAAGTACCACATCTCCAAAATGAAGATTTGTCCTAGATAATTGCTAAAGTGTCTTCTAGTTCCAGATATGATCCTAGTCTTATTCAACTGCCTTCAAAAAGATCTCATTTGGTAAATATTTATTGGATATCAATGATCACAATGGCCTTTTAATTGGTATCCCTGCCTCCAGTTTCTCCCTATCCCAGAATCTCCTCCACAAAGCTCCCAGCTCCATCACCAATAAACTGCCACTTGGCAATGCATTCTTTTGGCCATGGCAACCCATGAAAAAAAAAGGGGGGAATTCAGTCCTGGGTAGATTCCCACTTCTGCTTTAGCAGTGATAGTGGCATAGTGTTCTAAGAATCACATAGTTTTTAGGCCACGTGTAAACATCAGTTTAATTGTTAATGTGCTAAGTGTACAATCCTCGTTCAGTGTATGATAATTGGAAAAATTAAGAGAGGAACTGAATCATAGCAATCTTGACATTCTCATTGTAAAGGAAACCAAAAGACAAAAGGAAATGCAGCTAAATGGAAGGAAGTTTCACAAGTTTTCCTTGGATAGGCAAATAAGGGAGTTAAGGAAATTGGTTTTTATTGTATATTCAAAGGCAACAGAAATAACTTCATTTTGTTGGCCATCTAACTTTGGAGATACCCCTGCCCTGCAGCCCTCTCCTCTGCTAAGTCTCCTCACTCCCCAGACTTTTCCACCTCACCAGCCTTGACTCTGAGCAAGTATTTATATGTTGTCTTCTCTCATTAGAATGTAAGCTCTTTGAGGATAGGGACTGTATCCCTAGCACTTAGCAGTATGCCTGGCACATAGACTTACATGTTAAATTCTCTCTCTCTCTCTGTCTCTCTCTGTCTCTCTTTTCTCTTTTCCTCTTATCACTATAGTATTCCTAGTCATCTAAGTGCAGTGCTCTTGATGAACCATTTGTAAAAAGTCACAATGATGACAATAAGGCTTTTGTGCCAATATCTATATGAAGAAATTAGGATGTGGAGAAATGTTACAAGAACCCCATAAGACCTTCCAAATTAAATTAATCTATACTTTTATATTTGGTAAATTCAAAGATGGGCATAGAGAAAAATAAAGGAAAGTACCTTATAAAATACAGCAAGAGTAAAATACACAGAATACACAGAAACTATAGGTCTATTTATCACAAACACTTTCTTAAGAAAAGAATCTGGGGGCACTGCCCAAGACAAGGACCAAATAACAAAACCAAAACAAGAAATTGATTAAATCTTAAAAGAGGGGAAACAACTGGTTACTGATGCAGGAATTATTTGTCCATGTTTAATAAAACCATTGACGTGAAAGATCAAAATCAGCACCAAAGTGGAAAAAAAAGAATAAAGAAGATATGGCTTTGATTAAAACAACCCCAGTCTAACCTACTTAAATAAGAATGAATCATGGAACATGGATAAAAAAAAAGTTAATTAAACATCACAATGAAGTGATTATTTTTAAGTATATCCAATCAAACATCTAATTAGTTATCAGTTCTTTGCAATTCTCCACCTTCTCTTTCCATTTCTAATGGTTCATTGTTTCATTTCACAACTAGATTATTAAATGTCTCCTTCTCAATCTCTCCGGTCTCTTGCTGCTTAACTCCATCCTGCAGTTTTATCTTCTCAAATGGCATTTGTTACTTTATCCACTGCTGAAGAACTTAGAATAGCTCACTAT